GGGGGGGGGGGGGGGGTGGGCGGGGTGGGCGTATGCTGCCCCTGTTGGTGATGTGATGCATCGTGTAGTGTAGGAACCTTGCAATGTACAGTAGAGCATCGTCAAGTCAGTCACATCACCGTGATTTTGTTGGTGAGAATAGATGCTCGTTTTTGATGTTGGTCGAGTTCAATTGCCGGCAAAAGGCTGCAATTTACCGGCGCTGTGGATTATAAGCGTTGAATACGACGGACAGGCATCACAATCATTCATTCAATTAGCTTTTTGCTACCAATCAAGGCCTCGATACGTTAATAAATGAGTGCACGGGACAAAAGGCAAAGGTTAGAAGACGTTGACTGTCAAGAGCCGGCAAGTACCTTTGCGTATAAACTTGACCAAAAGTTTCTCTCGAGTCTAGTCATTGGACCGTTAGATCTAGGTAGGGAGTGGCCAAAAAGACGGAAAGGTGAGACATGATGGCTCAGATTGTGACAAACCTCTCTTCCCGGTTTTCTCTCTTTTCTTTTTTCTTTTTCTCTTTTTTTTTACGCTTCAACATACTCGTAGTTCCACCTTTCGCCAGACGGCTCGGGCTGCAGGACCGCATAGCCGCTTCACGCCACTGGCCCGGCAATCCTTGTCGCACAATCGAGAAGAGAGAGAGAGAGAGACAAAAAAGAGGCGAGACGAGACAACTTGGCTTGGTTTGATCCAGCTCGGGCGGATTAGACAGCTTCGCTTATGCATCGGACCTCGCCAACCGTTGGCAAAAAAATATTCACGGGCGGCCTCTGGTCCTCTTTCTGCCTCTGTATCGAATCCATGATTCACCCGCAGCCTAGATTGGTTTGGTATTCGGAACTTGCCCTTCTAATGATGTGTTGGGCGCACCAAGTACAGAAGGAGGATTGGAGGACTACGAGTACAAGTACGAGCAGGACAACGTTTGTGTTGGCTACACACGCCCCTGGCAGTCCGAAGCGGAAGTAGTGCGTCCGTGAGCACTTGTAGATACGTGACGACGCCTCCAGGCCGAGCTTCTGTGCCTCAGGGCTCCGACATCTACAACGTTGCTACTACTACAAGTTTACTCGTAGAAGGTACAAGCACTCCTCTCAAAAGGTAACTACGGGCCGAGAGACCAATTAACAGATTGGAGCGACGGAGCGTAGCGCTCCTCTAAATAACGATTTAACACCTCATTCAAGATGGTTGTTCGATGACCAGGGCCAAGCAAGCGGCTTAGATGGCGAGACACTTGCAGTCCTGTCCGAGGTCTTGCAATTGTTTGGATCCCTGCAATTGGCGTCTGAGCGCTTCGAAACCGGCAGTATAGACAGCTTGTGTGCACATATGGCGATGCAAACAAACATGACTGTTTTCTTACTCGACTCTACGAATTTATTGTGGTCTGAAAGAACAATCTGTATCTTTGCTAGATAGGTACCTAGGTATAGAGGTTCTATCTCCTTAAAAATGGTGTAAAAAGAAAAACATTATGAATACTTCTCCGGGTTTCGAACCCAGGACGTCCCAAAAAAGTGACTTTCCCATCAACGTTGAATGCTTCTAGTTTGATTAACGGTTGCGCCACTACGGCCCGAAGGCGTTGCAAGACAGTGTACTAGCATAATATATATACTAATAGACCAGCTCGCACTGCACTAACACAGCCCTGTCGGATACGAAGTAAACTAGTAATACTGCAGACTCCAGAGAAGGCAACGCCATTGAGGCATGCAATCAAAGATGTCGCGTGCTAGAGTCTTGCTTACAGCATTCCAAGGTTTTCAATACTTCGTCCCAACATATCTACAATGTAGCTGTAGGCGTGACACCAGTTCCGAACCGACTGGCCAATGATGAGCGATTCAACGATGGCTTCACACATGCGTGCCCAATGGGCTCGAGTTGCATCAGGCAGTTGACTGTCTTCACTTATATCGAAAGCACAGAATCTAACACATGCTAAATGGTAACTCATAGCCGTAGATGACACGGCTTCGGATATCGCGCAATATCCCGGTCAGGCACGAGGATGAGGATGCGACGGAGAGATTGCCCCGTTGTCCTCCAGCACTTAGTATTCTGGACAGTCCTGCCCGAACAACAAGGTTCAAGCACAACGCAACTGGCTTCAAGCCCGCAAATTATAATTCAATGACTCAACCAAACCAGATAGGATCGTTCCGTCAGGTTATAAAAGGCAGCGATAATCCTGCTTGAAAATGGATTGCGCACGCAACGCTTTCAGGATCAAAAGGCCACCCGACCAGACAACGCATCCACTTCTTCTTGGCAATAGCCGCAACCCGACCGCAACAGCAAGATGGCTGAACGAACAACCAAATCCACAATCAACAAAATTGCAGACCGAAGCTCCAAAGAAGGAACGACCGAAGCTAGGCGAGGCAAAGCACAAGCTGAACCAGCCGAAGGACACCAAAACCCCCAAGCTAGGCAAAGGGATCAAGAAAATCATCAAAAGAGCGGACAAAGCAGGCAATTAAAGGCTACACGCATGAAGGCCGGGAACCGCTGGATATCGCTAGAAATAGCCCTAGCTTCCGGAGAAGACGAAAACCCCAGAGGGTGTGGGTGTTCAGCGCATCACGCGCCTGTACCGTGACCGACTTACGACGCCTATATCATGACCGACTTACAACGCCTGTGTCGTAACCAACTTACAATACCTGTGTTGTGACCGACTCACGACGCCTTATATTACTTAAGACAATATATCATAATTATTTTCAAGCTTTCTATTAGAAATAGAGCTTCTGGAGAAGACGAAAACCCCAGAGGGTGTGGCTGTTAAGCGTATTACGCGCCTGTATCGTGACCGACTTGCGACGCCTCATATCACTTGGGACGACACATCACAAATACTTTTGAGCTTCCTGTCAGAATACAATCGCGCTGCGTGGGAGGAATTCATGAAGGACGTCACCTTCTGGCAACACTCTGCTGCCTCCAGATCAACTCACGTATTGTACGGTACCGCACATCGAATACTTTTTCTTTCCTGCTCGATCATTCATTCGCTGATTCACTGGATTACGCACTCGCTCGCCCAGGCACTTATATACATGCACATACATTGTACACATATCTGTGAATACAATGTTGCAGAAAGAATTGTCGGGACCTGAGGGGCCCCACGACATTGTTTTTCGCGATCCTCTTTTTTGCAGTAGCGGTAGTTGGCGGGCTTTCCTGGAGCCAGGTAGGTTCGCTTGGGACGTCTCATGTGGAGTTGATCTCCTCTTTTGAAGTGTGCATTATCATTGACATTTGCCTAGGTTCAGATTGTAAGGGGTAGGCGAATATTGGGCTGAGTTTTTGAAACCTGTATAGGGGAAAGAGAGGCATCTTACGCTGACTTTGGACTGGGTAAGAGAGATTAGTGTTGTCTGATGGTCAGCTGAGGCTTGGATATATCCAAAGGTTAAATAAGAAAAGGATTTGTGTTGAATCACGGGGAGTTTTTGATATGGTTTCGTATGGGAAGGGGTATAGTTCCATATCTGGAGGACGTTGTGCTTGGAATTATACAACATTGTGGCTTTGGGGGGACGAGGTATGTTATGGACCCCTTTTTTATATTATTGACGGGTATTAGCATGTCGAAAGATATTGTTGTCACTGACGTCAAAGATAACTCGTAGTCTCAGAGTATAGGTATCTTTTTTCTAATTGTACGTTTGTAAGTCTACCTAGGCGTTGTTTGCAGATTCATGGCAACATCAACGAATTAATGTCTAGAAGATACTTGTTATGTAGGCATGTACTCGCGATACCATTACAAACTAAAGCTCAATATGAGATGGTAAAATTGTGCAGATACGTGTTGGAGCAATATAAGAGATCCATGAATATGAGTTTCGTCTGCAGGGTAGTACTTTGGGGAAGGGAAACTCCATACCGAATGTTGATGGTAATTGACATATAGTAGGGCACTGTCTGAGGCATTCTAGACTATCGTAATGGTTTCATTTAATCTTATTGCTTTAATCATGCATATACACCTTGTTTGCGATTCTTATTTATATGGTGATCCAAGCGTGATGACATGTATTGATTATAGCCTCGTATGGACGTTAGACCTTGATAGGGAGGAGAAGAAGCTGATTAGGAACTACCACACTCTTGAGGATGACATTTCAAAGAATTGATTATATTGATGACTATATAAATGGCATCCAAATCAACATTGGATCGTATAAGTCCATTTCCACCAAGTGAGACTGCTCTGTTAATCCGGTACGGGCTACGCACCACCAGCGCCGAGCAGCGCCGAGTACTCCACTAACGGACGGCCAGCTTTCCTCCCCCACAGCCCCTCCACCCGTGACGCAGCATCATCACCAACCAGACTGAGCTTCCCCCAATCCACCTCGAAAGCTACAGCCTCTCTCTATCTATCGCCCAATCGAAACACCTCCTCTCCCTCCCGCCACCTCTCCGGAAAAGCAGCAAAAAGGGAGAAACCCGAAAACCAAAAAAAACAACAACAAAGAATCCTCTCTCTCCCAACAGCGCAACGACACACTCGCCATGTCAATCATCCAGCAACACACCGCCGCGTCCCTCACAGACGCATGGCGCACCGTCAACATCGACATCCTGACCGAGGATTCGAGCGTTAACTTCGACACGTCGACGCTGCACCCGCCGCAGCCCGAGATTTCCGAGGCCGACGTGCGCAACTTGTCGACGCAGGTGCGGCAGCTGCTGAGGGGGGGCGATGCCGAGGGAGCGCTGAGGGGCTGCCTGGAGACGCCGGTATACAACGGGACGGATGCTGCAAAGGTATGGAACTTGTTTGCTTAGTTGTATCCCTGGGCTGTTGGGGAGACATGTGATGGGCTAATCAGGATGTTTTTACAGGAGGCGCATCTGCAAACCATCATCGAGGTGCTGCAGTCCATCAAGGCGAGCGACATGACGCCCCTGCTCAAGGGCATCTACGCGGCCCCTGGCGGAAGCGAGCTTCTCGACGTGCTGATGAAGTACATGTAAGTCGCCAACTCCCTCATCAAAACAGAAATAGCGAGGGAAGAAGCAAAGACGACGGAAAAGCTGACAGAGGATCCTGTCGATAGCTACAAGGGAATGGGCAGCGGCGCCCCCGCGCTCAAGTCCCCCGCCAAGATGACGCCGCAGTCCACCGGCTTCACCCAGATCGGCTCACGGCCCGGCGCGTCCAACGAGCCCGCGTCGGCCGCCATGAGCGTCCTGCTGAGTTGGCACGAGAAGCTGGTCGAGGTTGCTGGGCTTGGGTGCATCGGCCGGACGATGACGGACTGGCGGAGAGTATAAATGGCGCTGTTGGGGTATATATAAACGGACAAAGGGTTGAGCCTGCTTCGAAATCATGTATAGAGGGGGGTGCTGAAGGAGCCCAAGGTGTTTGCTTTACTTTCCAATGGAACATTGGCTACCGAATGGTAGCATGGCGCCATCCATACGTTCGGTTGACATATTAACTTGTATGAAAAAAAAAAAGTTTGAAATCTTCCATTATTCCTACATGTGGTATATATACTACTCCTTCTTTTCCAGAATGTCTTTCAGATTGGCCTCTCCACTTCCTCTAGCAAGCGGCTTTGGCTGGTTCTCACCCTCACGCCAGCCAATCATGTATATAATTCTAAAGGTGGCAGGAATTGACCCGTCCGGGTTACCATGCAGGGCCCGATATATGGCGTCGTTGGCAAGCAGAACATCTCTCCGAATGGGTCCCATCTCGCGGTTCAGAATGGCGTTGCTCTCGCCCATGGCCTGGAGATCCTGCATCAGGGCAAATGTATCGGGGTAGTCGACAATGATGTCGTCGACGTCTACAGTCAGCATCTTGAAGCCCGCCTTCTGCAGCAGGCCGCCGACATCGCGCACGTCAGCCAGCGGCGAGACGTGGGGGGACATGCCGCCTCTCCGTTCCTGCTCAGCCAGCTGCAGTGATGTCCGAAGCTCAAAGAGCGTATCGCCCCCAAGCATTGCGCCGATGAAGGGGCAGTCTGGCTTGAGGATGCTGTTGATCTGGGACAGCACGCCGGGGAGATCGTTGATCCAGTGCAAGCTCAGGGAGCTCAGCACAAGATCAAACGACTCGGGCTCAAACGAGACAGTCTCTTCATCGTCGACGACTTGGCGGGTAATGGCAATCCTCTTGTTGAAGCCGTGGCTGGCATCTCGGTAGAGCCTGGCCTCGGAGGAATCGGTTGCGACGAGTTCGCCGATGCGGTCCGACAGCGGTGGTGACAGCGGCGTGTTTGGATCGGGATCGGGATTCTCGCGCGCCAAGGCCTTTGCGACATTGCAGGAATTGGCACCGAGGTCGAGAACCTTGGGGAAGTGTCGTTTGATATCCTGTCGAGAGTAAGCTTTGGAGTTTGGCTTTGGGTTAAGCATAATAGCGAAGTAGGTTCGGACTGACAAGAAGCCTCTCCGTGAGGCGTATGGCTACTTCGTCCTTTAGATAGTCTGCCTGTCGACTCTCTTCCACGTTGGAAGCCGCGCGCTCCTTCTGAAGCCATTTTGCCCTTCGATCAAAGACTTGGAATCGAGTTGCTCCGGAGGCGACCGCATAGAACCGGCGAGGGGCAGCTGCGAACTGGGTGCTTCTGAGAGGGGCAAGCCTGGCGAGGCTGCCTTTGCAGCTCATGAATGAGGATGAGCGCCACGTGGACATGACATGCTCATTTGCAGAGCAATTCTGGGGCAGGAGTCAATCCAAGCTTTATGTTGTTTTGTAAAGGAAGAAGAGGAATAGGAAGCAGTGAAGCAATGACGCCGGGCAGCCATTGATATCGATTGCGTTCATCCAATAATTTCTTAGATTGAGTGCTTCGCAGCGCACGGGCCACCCGACCACAGGGTCGCAGCCGCTGGCGTTTTAGCGGCCAACCCGCTACAGAAGCTCCTGATTAGGCGGCCAAACATCCATCCTTCGACCTTTCTCCGAGCCGCCCGCAAGACGCGACTCTCTCGATCTCGCAAAACCGTCACCACCAGAGGCTCCACGCAACCGTCTGGACGCTGCTGCATTCGCTGTGACGCGCTCGTCGGCGAGGAACTGTATTACGGCATCAGATTCATCATCTCGCACTTGTTTCGCCCTTTTTAACGCCGCCTGCCCTGTCCCCGTGATAGCCGGCAGCATCTTATCGCACAAGACCCGAGGCGATTACATATCCAGCCATTCGCGACGCCGTCGATGCTCGCCGCATAAACCAGACCGACGCAAGCGATCCCGCCTGACTATGCGATCCCCCCGATAGACGATTGGTGTCTGGCTTTGCCTCCCGCGAGGATTTAATTACCGCGACAAGCTGCTTCGCATCCCATCTCAACTATCGATTGAGGAGTTAAAATAACGAGGTCCGAAAAAAAAAGGGGTCCAACATGTCGTCGTCCGCGTCAGGCTGGATTGGCCGCTCCAGCAGCAACAATGCCAACATGCGAGGCCTGGTGCAGTTCATTGCCGACTTGCGAAACGCGCGTGCCCGTGAGCTCGAGGAGAAGCGCATCAACAAGGAGCTGGCCAACATCCGGCAAAAGTTCAAGGACGGCAACCTCAGCGGCTACCACAAGAAGAAATATGTCTGCAAGCTGCTGTACATCTACATCCTGGGGTGGAATGTCGATTTCGGACACCTCGAGGCCGTCAATCTGATTTCCGCCAATAAATACTCGGAGAAGCAGATTGGCTACCTGGCCATGACGCTGTTCCTCCACGAGAAGCACGAGCTGCTCCACCTTGTGGTCAACAGCATTCGCAAGGATCTTCTCGACCACAATGAGCTCTTCAACTGTCTTGCTCTACATGCCATTGCCAACGTCGGAGGTCGCGAGATGGGAGAAGCCCTCAGCGGAGAAGTACACCGGTTGCTCATCTCGCCGTAAGTCCCAATACACGCGCGCACATATCTGGCGGAAGAAGGGTTCGTTTTGGCTAGCTCGAGACTGGAAAAGCTAACTGGTGAATGCAATCTAGGACTTCAAAATCGTTTGTCAAGAAAAAGGCCGCTCTGACCTTGCTGCGACTGTACCGAAAGCACCGGGACATTGTACAGCCTCAGTGGGCGGAACGAATCATCCATCTGATGGACGACGATGATCTGGGTGTCGCGCTGTCCATTACCTCTCTTGTCATGACTCTGGCCCAGGACGACTTGGAACAGTACAAGGGCGCCTATTCCAAAGCTGCCGCTAGACTTAAGCGCATCCTGATTGACGGCGAGTACACCACCGATTATCTGTATTACAAGGTTCCATGCCCCTGGCTTCAAGTCAAGCTTCTGCGGCTTCTGCAATACTTTCCTCCTTCAGGTACGTCGATATCCCGTTCGAGATGTGTGCGACAAACTTGTTGAATGCTGACTGTGCCTGTGTAGAGGACACGCACGTGCGCGAGCTGATCCGAGAGTCTCTGCAAAAGATTCTCAACCTCGCCTTGGAATCAAGCAAGAACGTGCAGCAGAACAATGCCCAAAACGCAGTCCTCTTTGAGGCCATTAACCTCATCATCCACTTGGACACCGAGCAGGACTTGATGAAGCAAATCTCCTCACGCCTAGGGCGCTTCATCCAGAGCAGAGAGACCAATGTTCGATATCTTGGCCTCGAAGCCATGACCCATCTTGCCGCGAGGTCTGAAAATCTTATTTCGATTAAGCAGCACCAGGACATCATTCTCAGCTCTCTCAAGGACCGCGACATTAGCGTTCGCAGAAAGGGTCTTGATCTCCTCTACAGCATGTGCGACTCGACGAATGCCCAGGTCGTTGTTGGCGAGCTTCTGCAGTTTCTTCAGAGTGCGGACTTTGCCATCCGTGAGGAGATGGTTCTTAAGATTGCCATTCTTACGGAAAAGTATGCCACCGACGTCCAGTGGTATGTCGACATATCTCTGCGGCTGATTGCCATGGCTGGCGATCATGTCAGCGACGAAGTGTGGCAGCGAGTGATTCAGATTGTCACCAACAACGAGGAGCTCCAGGTGTATGCCGCTCAGACCGCTCTTCAGCACATCAGGGCCGACATCTGCCACGAGACGCTGGTCAAGATTGGCGCCTACATCCTGGGAGAGTTTGGCCATCTCATTGCTGACCAGCAGCGGTGCAGCCCCATTGAGCAGTTCCTGGCCCTGCAGAGGAAGCTGTCGGGATGTTCGTCGAGCACGCGCGCCATGATTCTTTCCTGCTTCATCAAATTTGTCAACTTGTTCCCGGAAATCAAGCCTCAGCTCGTTCATGTTTTTGAAATCTACAGCCACACGCTGGATTCCGAACTGCAGCAGAGAGCCTGCGAGTATCTGAAACTGGCGACGCTGCCGACGGATGATCTTCTGCGAACAATGTGCGACGAGATGCCGCCATTCCCCGAACGAGAGTCCGCCCTGCTCTCTCGCCTGCACCAGAAGCACGCCGGCACCAGCGACCGGAGGACATGGGTCGTCGGTGGCAAGTCTGCCAACACCGAGGCGGAGCTCAACATGGCCAAACCTGGCGGTCTCAAGAGGACATTTAGTTCTGCTGTTCCGCTCAACGGGAACAAGGCCAACGGTGTCAATGGTAGCCACGCAAACGGTGCCTCTGATCTTGCCGGGCTGGACATGAGCTCGCCGACAAGCGAGCAAAAGCCAACAAGGGCACCGAACCTTGCCAGCGCTGCTCACCTGTCTCCCGGGTGGGAGAAGGGCTTCCACAGGCTCCTGCTCAAGGCCGAGGGCGTCTTGTACGAGGATGCCCAGGTGCAGATTGGCGTTCGGTCCGAGTACCGTGGACAGATGGCCTGCATCATTGCCTATTTCCGAAACAAGAATCCAGGGACCATCACGTCCTTCACCACGACGCTGGATCTTGATGAGAGCGAAAAGCGCCATCTCACATGGGATGTAAAGGGTCTCCCCGAGAGTACCCTTGGCCAGGGCTCGCAGACACAGCAGGTCATCATGTTTGAAGCCAAGAAGGTATTTGAAAAGAGCCCGACGATGCGAGTCAGCTACTTGGCTGGTGCGTTGCAGGCACTCACACTGAAGCTCCCCGTCACCATTCACAAGTTTATGGACCCTGCGGAGCTCTCTGCCGAGGATTTCTTCAAGCGGTGGAAGCAGATTGGCGGCGGTTCCCGAGAGGCTCAGGGCATCTTTGGTCTCTCTGGCGGCAAGAACAGCGCCAGGGAACTGACCGAGAAGTTTGTGGCCTCGACGGTCGAGGGTTTCAGATGGCGCCTCCTGGACATGGTTGACCCCAACCCCAAGAACGTTGTCGGCGCCAGCGTGCTTCATACCTCGGAGGGCGGCAAGTTTGGCTGTCTCATGCGACTGGAGCCCAATTACGTCACTCAGGTAAGCTCATCCCGTTCTTTTTCGTCTTCTCTTGGTGAATATTTCTTCGACGTGATGTTTTGCAAAATCAAAGTATTTGCTACTTCAGAACCTACGGGTCATGAGACAAACCTTCTTCACCTTTGCCCTGATCGTCCATCATCATTGTTTCTCTTTGAATGTTTGCCCTGTCACATTGGAAGATCACACTGCTAACGTCATGTTTGAAAGATGATTCGGTTAACGATCCGAGCCACCGATGAGTCGGTGCCCCTGGTTCTTCTCAAGCTCATGCAAGAGCGACTGTCCGTCGGAGTATCAACGATGCCCGAGAGATACGATCCCCCAACACGACAAGACATTTCTGACGCTTTTGGGAGTGTAATGGTTAACTAATTATCTACTATTTTTTCCCCCGAGCCAAGCTTGGTTTCTCTTATTTATTTATTTTTGGAATATGTGACAATAACTACAACTACATGACTGACTGGGAAATGTCTTGGCACGCATGGAAGCATATTGGCGTTTGGGAGAGAAGCATGATGGATGATGACTCAGTGCCTTGAACGAAGTTTTTTGGAGTCGGTGAAGGGGGCGAGACTGAGGAGCCTTTATTCTCTGTATGTAGTTTAGTTTTTTGCCCCCTCTATGAAAGCGGCTGTTTTTATTTTTTTTTTCCCCCATCTTTTTAGCCAACCAAAAGTTGTAACATATGATGGTCATGAAAAGGGGGCCTCTTTGCTGATACCAACCTCTTTCTTCTTCTTTCATGCTTGTTGAGTCCTTTGCGGTTTAATCGTAGTTGTGAATGAGATACATAATGGCTCCTCTTGAAGTAGCTTCACGTTGTGCCTGGTATTGTATTATACACGTTTGATATATATATGTATAGTTTTTTTATACGTCCGTCTTACAACTGTTACGCTTTTGTCCTGGGAGGCCTCTGTCCAAAGATGGTGGTGCCCACTCTCACTTCACTGCTCCCCTGAGCAATGGCTCCCTCGAAATCCTCGCTCATGCCCATGCTCAGCTCCAGGCTATCGGGACTCAGGCCGAGTTCGCCAGCCACCAGATCTCTCTGCGCCCTCAGAGCCTCAAAGTCCTCGTTTTCATCCTCCGCAGTGGTGGCACGACTACGAGCGATGGCGCCAATGGTCATGAGGCCGAGCAAGTTGAGCCCGGGCAAGTTCTGGACGATTTCACGACACAGAGCCACGGTTTCCTCGCCCGGAGCGCAGCCAGACTTTTCCTCCTCGCCCGAGGTGTTGACCTGGACGTGGACGTTGAGCTTGTCGAGGGCCGGGTTGGCGGCGCGGGCGTTGCTGAGCAGCTGGGCTTTTTTGAGGGAGTCGACGCTGGAGACGCAGAAGAGGTTGGGGATCTTGGCCAGGTTCTTGCAGTGGCCGGACTGCAGGCCGCCGATGAAGTGCCAGTGGATGGACCGGGGAAGAAGCTCGGCCTTTTGGACGAGTTCCTGGGCGTAGTTTTCGCCAAAGTGAGTGTGGGAGGCGGGAGCTTGGTGGAGGGCGAGGACGTCGACGGCCGGCTTCAGCTTTGAGACGGCGACGAGGCGGACCTTTGTGTATTTCTTAGCATGGCCATATTTAATTTGTCTTAAGAGGACACAACAGAACCGTGCATTATAGAAGGACGGTAGAACATGATATCATACTCATCAACTGTTTCTAGTGCTTACATTTCGGCCGTTGGCGGCTGCTGCGACTCGTTCTTTGACGGCACTGAGTTGGGAGATGAGAGCTTGAGCTCTGGTGGGGTCGATTTTCATTTCTTCGGTGGCTTCGTCGCTCATTTTCTGCACACCATGAGATGAGACTTTTGACAACTCAAGAGGAGATGTGAGAATTAGGTAAAAACAACGAGTTGTTACTAAGTTAGAGTGGTTATGAAATGGGCGAGATGATAAGTGATGAGTGAGAATGTCATGAAGTAATGACTGACACAGGTTGAGAGAAGTTGTGGCCGAGATCGGCTTATCATCGGCTGTATCGGGGCGGGTTCCCCAACTTCAATTCGGTAAGCCTTCCGGGCAGTGACCTCAACACTGTACAGTATCTGTCTGTTTCTACCTACTATATTCATGTTCATGCCAGAAGCGGATTTAGCTGATTCATCGTTGAATTGATCTTCATTATTCAAACACATGTTGTAGTTTCTTCTTCTTTAAATCCTTTTTTTTTTCTTTGCTTTCGGTGTGCACCTTGTAATAGACAATGGCAACCGACGTCAAGCAAGCGCAGGACGGCAGCTCCAAAAAGCTGGCCTTTGAGCCCAAGTCACAGCACACATCAGATGGATTCCTACAAGACTTCCTCAACCCTTCCTTCGACCCAATCTCATACATCAATGCCAGCTTACCGCCGCTGGCTCAAAAGGCTCCAGTGCCGTCGAATCACAATGCGGTGCCCCTTGCGGAACTCGCCACGCAGGCCCAGACGCTTCTGTCGCAGCTGGATGCTCACACGACGAGGCTGTCGGACACGCTGACGCAAATTTCCGACGATATCCTCAGGAGTGGGAGCAGGATGTCTTACGAGGTGGAGATGCTGCGAGGCGAGGCGCTGAGCTTAGAGGAGCTGCTGTTTGAGAAGCTGGCCGACCAGATCAGCATGTTTGTGCCGGGAGGGCTGCAAAAGGAGGGTGAGACGAAAGAAGACGAGGAGAAATCGAGAGAGAAGAAGAAGCCTTTGGAAGACGGTGGAGAAGAATCCGGGGCGAGAGCAGTCGCAAACCCCGAAGCTCAAGCGGTTGGTGCTGAGGGATTGGAGCCCGAGTCTATCAAGCAGCTGCGGACGCTCACCCTCGTCCGTGAGCGCCTGGATTCCGTCATCAAGATATTCGGCGACGCCATGGAATTCACCTTTCCACCATCGGAAGTGTCCGTCAGTTCAGGGTTCCTATCCGTCTCCGCGCCAGAGCCCGGATCAGACCTGCAGAGCTCGGAGGACAAGGGCCAGCAAGTCCTCCAGAAGCTGCGAGACGAGATTTCGAGCCTGCTCAACAGCAAGCAGGACCCCGTCTCGGGCATCGAGAAGGCAGCCGAGAGAATCGAGCAGCTTAAGCAGCTGACCACGGTGTGGAACGGCACGGCGGAGGAGAGGGGCAGGACCAAGTTCATCGAGAGCCTGGCGAAGATGGTGGAGGACAGGCACCGCGAACTACTCAAGGAGATTGATACGAAGAGGAGCGAGGCTAATGCGTCGAGGCATGAGAGGAGCGGCAGCAGTGGCGTGACGACGAGGGAGGTTGCCATGGCGGAGGAGGCGAAGGCGCTGCCGGGAGGGTTTGGGCTGATGAGCCAGCTGCAGAAGTTGCGCGGTGGCTTGTGAGGATGTGGAAGATTGTTTATTCATACATGGCATGACATGCGTATACACGGGGTTTCCTTTGGAGAATATAAGAGGATCGAGGCTGGGGATGAGAGAGACATGAGATACGACAACTGGACGATGTATCTTAGACTACTACGGCAATATGGGATGAATACGGCAGTAGTATGTATTGTATGACACGATTCATCCCAATGTAGCGATACATATTTACTTCATCACATAAACACTTTTAAAATCGTCAATCATGAATTCATTGCCCTTGTTAGAGAAACTATATCAAAGTCGTCCTGGTTACCATCTCCGGACTCTTCCTCCATCGATGCCAGGAAAGGCAACGAAGAAGCCCAAGTTGCTTCCACATACGGCATAGCGCCCATTAGACGTGCGCCGGTTCGCAGTGGCACGTATCGCCTAGCCGCGGTAGCTCCCCAGTACAGAGTACCTGAAAACACGGGAAGACAAGCGACAAAGCCAAGGTACAAGACACTCACGAATACAGTTGCTCGGGGCGGGCCAATCACGGGGCGTTTGTAACTGTCCCGATCTGCGGGCGGTGAAGCTGCCCGAGGTTTTGGTCATGCAGGTGCTTTTTCTCTTTTTCGCGGGCGGCCAGAAAGAGGAAGCTAGAGCTGGGAGCAAAGGTCACGCAGGGCAGAATTGACTGACGGCTCGGGGCAAAATCACGCAGGATTTGCAGTCGGGAAGAAGAGAGAAAAGAGCATTGCGGAAAATACAGCAAGTTGTTGAATCATAACTGTGTATTTATTCAGTAGTAATCATGCTGTGCAATACCTAGCGGAGGCAAAAACAAGCTTCGCTGGCAGAATCCATCCAGGGCATTAGAGTTGAGCTGGATCTGAGGCGCCTCTGACCTGGCGCTGAGAAAATCCATAAAAAGGCGGCAGAACCACACCACTCACTAACACCCCCGGGACTTAGACGCAAGACCCTAGCCAGCCTTTTACTCCGAACCCTCACCAGTCGACTTGTATGCCGATACGCAAAACTGATTCTCGCGGCTATTCTCACTCGATCGAGCTTGTCTTTTCTTGTCTCTGCCGACTGCAGGTTCTCTTCTTATAATTTCTTTACTAGCTTCAAGCAGAAGGAAAATACTCTCTCTCTCAGGCGACGTCCACGCTTCTTCCCAGCCTCTCTCTCTCTCTCTCGCTCTGCCCTGCTCTACTCTACTTCCGCTCCCTGATCCCGCCATGGAGGCGAGCGAAGGAATCGCCTCCGCCGTGGGCGTCAAGCTGGATCGGCCCTCTCCAGCAGCAGCCTCGCAATCCAAGCGTGACCGCAAGCGCCAGGCTCTCGCCGACCGTCTGTCCGCCTTGGACGACAAGGTGCAGCGCGACCGGGACCTGACGTACCGCGACCAGCTCCAGAAAATCCAGTACGAGGTCGGCCTGGTCCAGCGCTTCGACCCGTACGATTCCAACGCCCTCGAAAAGGCCGCCGACCTGCTCCAGGAACACAGACAGGCCCAGGGGCCGCCGGTGCTTGCCGATGGCGCCCGGAGCCTCATGGACATGGCGGGCATCCGCTTCCCAGACTTCATTGATGAGGTGGAGGATCTAATTGAGATTCGCGATTTCCAGCTGGTGCAGTCCAAGGTGAGTAGAATCACACGCACACACATGCACACATGTACATGTACATGTACACAAACACGACAAGAGAGAGAGGAGACGGGACATGATACTTCTTCCCTCTCCTCTTTTGCTTTTTAACCCTATCTTTTCGGGGCCCTGCCCTGCCCTGCCCTGCATCATGGCGTCACTGCTATAATCGCCCGGCTAACACATGTCTGCCTTTTGTCAAATTAGAACGAATACGAACGCAAGGTGCAAGAGTACAAGAACACGCACGCGTACAAGGTCGAGACGGCCAAGCGGGAGCACCGAGCCCTGACCGAGACGCTCCGCGATCGGCTCATCAACAGCCTCACACAGAAGAAGAACCGCCTGAACCGAGAAAAGGAAGTGCTGGAGATTAACGACTCCAACGCCCTGCTGCTCAATCCAAACCAATTCAGCCTGACCAACCCCGCCAGCCCCGGCGGCGCCCATGGCAAGCGGGCGACTCGCCTGCGCAAAGATGCCGAGGATCTCCAGGTCTACGCCGACGGCAAGAAGCGCAAGCGCAACCAGGGCGAGGACGACGGATCGCCGGTGCCCTCGCGGCGGGCTCTCGACCCCAACAGCACCACGCCGCTGTGGCAGTCGGAAAAGGCGCGCGCGGCTGCCAAGCAGAACGGCCCCGTCTACAGCATCGACAAGCTCTTCACGGACAAGGAGCTGTCTCTCCACTACAACACGGCCGCCCTGGCCGCTCACCAGTACGTGCTGCGCAACCGCGCCAACGGCGCCGCCTCTTCTCCCGACGGTAGCGACTCGGGCAACGGCGACAGCAACGACGTCGACAAGGACGATGCCGACTCGCAGCCCTCTGCCGCCCCCATGATGGAGCGCCAGGTCTCGCATGCAACTCGCAGCACTAGGGGTGGCGCGAACCAGAACTTTTTGGACGACAAGATCCTGGGCATCGAGGGCATTGCTAACTTTGAGCTCCCGGCCAACCTGGACCTGATCCACGCCCAAGAGCCGCCCAAGATGCCGCCTCCGGTGCCGCAGCAGTACCTCAAGCCGTACCCGCGGTCTGCCGACCAGAACTTCCCCGTGCCTCTGTCTCAGGATGACATTGCCTCCGATCTCTCCGTCATGGGCTTCTTCAAGCAGTACGACCAGAGCCACAAGCCCGGCGCCCACCTCGATGCGCCCAGCGGCCTGCGAAGGATCCTCGAGGCCGTGGCCGTCCCGTACCACCAGGGTCGGTACGTTGCCTTTACCAGCGCCGCCCGCGACGACCCAGAGTACCTCCGCGACGCCCTTGGCATTCCCTCGAGCAACATCCGCGATCAGCCCAGCCCAATTCATGCCAGTCTCTCCCTGGCCGCTCTATCATCGGCAGCCGCAGTTCCGATGAGCCGGCAGAGCAGCGCTCAGGGCGGTGGCGTTGCCATGAGCCGCCAGGGCACCAGCGGTAGTGGTCGTGGGAAAGGCCGCCGAGGTTGAACTCGAGCCCCATTCGTTCATGGTCATTGGATTCGACCGAACCGAGCCGCATGCACACTGCCTCTATCGCAACAAGGCAGACGGAATCAAAGTCACATTCTGAGGGGCTAACAAAAAACGGGAAAAGAGTAAAGGAATATGTGCATTTCACGGCATGGCGAAGCGACGGCTGGCGTCCCGGGTTTTTTTCTCTTTTTATACCTCGACCTATCTATATCTTGTCCCTCTTGGGAGGGGGGCAACTAGGGAAGCAGCATATGCTGTGTCTTTTCTTCTTGTTTTTTTTTCTCTCTTTCCTTTCATTCTCATACCTAAAGTTTCTCTTTGTGGTGTTTGTATGCCAATTCCAAATTTCATTTTCATTTTAGTTTTTGTCTTCTTGATATTCCTGCTGCCGCTGTTTGATGTGCTTTACCTGGTTGTTTTCTTGCGGCTAGTCACGGCTGCTTTACGGTATCAAAGAGGGATGGTATTTGGATTTCCTTTTTTTTTTTGGCCTCTGTATCTCCAAGTAAGTTCCTTGTCTTATACACGATGATCTTTCTCATTTTCCCCCATCTCTTTTTATCTCTTCTCTTTCGTATGGTGGCTGGGAGGAGCTGCTGTTATACAGGAATGCTTAGATTAAGTTGGGGGTAGATACGGCCTTTTGAGAAGACAACAAGGGGGGGGGGCGTATCGAGAGTGGGAGACGCTCTCTACTTTATGTCTTCTTTTCCTTACTCGTCATTTTTTGCTCTTTTTTTTTTTCTTTTTTCGCTTTATCGGCCTGGATGGGTTTGTTATCCCAGGTTCAAATGCCACAGTCACTGTCGGCGGCAGGTTCTTCTCACGCGGTCGGGAGTTCCAGAGGGCAGAGGCATGAAATAAAAAGGGAAATGACTGTTTGTTATTACAATGTTTGCAATCTCGTCTCGTCTGTGCAACGCTAATATGAACCCAACACAAAAAGAAAAAAAAACAAAGTGACACCATCTACCATGCATACACTCCAACCCAAATGCAGAGAAATCTTCCTTGTTACACATTTTCTTGCCTTTTAGTTGCCAAAGACCAAAGCGCGAACCTCGATGCTCTCGCGGCCCTCGGCATCCACCCTCGTCCTGGGGTCGGTAAAGGCAGTGTGAGGCACACGTCCGCCAATGCCAGAGCCAGGCTTGAGCGACTCGCTGTCGAAACACTCAATCAACAGGCGCTCATCGCCCGTCATGCCGCTGGCATAGTACCACTTCTGGTCCGGGTTGTAGTTGATGGCGGCCGTCTCGCCAATGTAGCCGTCCGAGTAGCGGTGGGAGATGGGGATGACGTCCCTTTCATCGAGCGTCGAGGTGGACGCCACGGCGAGCGGGCTGGACTCGACGGGGTTCTTGTTCAGGGGCCGCCAGACGTTGATGATGCGGTAGCGGCGCTGCAGCAGGGCGTCGGCCTCGTCGGGGAAGTAGCGGCGCACACGCTTCTCGACGGAGGCGGCGGTCTGGTCGATGTGGACGCGCAGGACGGGGGCGCGGTGGGCGTCCGGGGTGGAGCGGCGGATGGTGTGGTCGAAGATGTAGACCTTGTCGGCGCCGGGGATGTTGTCGAGCAGCAGCCTCTCGACCTCGGGGTAGTACTTTTTCTGGATGGAGGTGTCCTCGGTGAAGTCGTGCTCGGCGGAGGCGGGGACGCCCTGTATCAGCTGGAAGGCGTCCTTGTCGAGGGTGAAGCTCGCCTCGGAGCCGCGGATGTCGTGGATGACGACGTCGTGGAAGTCGTCGCCGTAGTTGCGGCGGGCGAGGTCCGCGGGGTGGTCGTCGCCGACGAGGTTGTAGGGGGCGGCGCCGTCGGCGGGGGCGGTGTAGTAGTTGAGGTTGGCGGTGACGTCGCCGCGGGGGATGCTGGAGATGACGGCCATGTCTGCTGTTCTTGGGTGTTGTGTTGTGTAATATGTGGTGATGTGGTGTTTTTTGGTGTTGTGGATGTTCAATGGCGGGGTTGAGTTGTTATCAGTTGTATGAGGGTATATGGTATATATAATTGTATTGGCTATTCAACGCCCGATGCTGAGATGAGATTGAGATTGTAAGATGATGCTGAGATCAAATTCCACAACATACACTTATGTATATATATATATATGTATATATATATACACACGCGACGGCCATCCATCCCTCACGCCCCCGATTTCAAATCCAACCGGACCGTCATAATGCTGAGTGGCTCGACCCTCGACCCTCCCGCTGCGAGCACGTCACGGCAACCTCCACTCATTCGCTGGAAGCCATTTGTAAGGCGTAGACGGCTTACTAAAGGGCGCTGGCCGAAACGGGAACAATTTCCTCATGGGAAAAGCGTCGCAACGTTCGATTGCCGGATTTAGCCGCTCTTTTTCTGCTTTTGCTTTTCTGCTGCAAGACGCTGGTTGTCGGGCATTCCCGTGGAGATGCCGGCGGGGGATTTGGGGGGGGGGGGGGGGGGGGGGGGGCAACCCAAAACCCAAAAAA